GTGAGGGATCTTTATCGTGCCAACGCCTGCCGTGACACGGGGCCTCAGTTTTTAAGGTCTAATCCGAAGAACCCGCAACTTTCACTTCAAAGTGCCGAGCGCATGGCAAAGGAACATTTACTTTGCTACCTATTTTTTATCGACTTAGGTCAGTTGCGGCCAAGATTCGAACTCACTACCTTCCGATCACAGAGCATGCGCTCTATAGCATTTTTTTTTTTGAAAAATCCTTAATAAAATCTTTCCCCCTGGAAAACTTGCTCTAGAGTAGGATTTCCTCCCGGAAAAATGACTCTAAAGTAGGATTTCCCCAAGGAAATCCCACATCAAATTCAATTTTCCTATACAAGCATAGCAAAAAAGTACGGAAAATTAACTATGCCAAAATGCGAAAATTCATTTTATAAAATACTTTATTAAAAAAAAAAAAAATGAATATATTTCATTCAAGAAATAATAATTAAAGAAGTGTATTAATATTTAGGTCACCTGAGTCACTCAGGTGACCTATTGCTATCCGTTTTCGTCCGTCGGCGTGCGTCGTGCGTCGTGCGTTAACATTTGAACATTTTCAGCTTCTTCTCTGAAACCGCTCAACCAATTTCAACCAAATTTGGCATATAACATCTATGGGTGAAGGGGGACAAAATTTGTGAATTTCATGGTCCCTGCCCCCCTGGGGCCTGAGGGGTGGGGCAAAAACCACTAAAATTAATGCAATCTTTAAAAATCTTCTTCTTTACTCCTGGACATCAAGCAGTCAAACTGTTAGCATGATTGTAATAAGCATTGAGCCCTCTACCAAAATTGTGAAATTCATGGCCCCAGGGTAAGGGGTTCTGGGGCTAGGGCGGGGCTATATAGATCATATAGTGAAAGTGCATTATTTCTTTGAAAATCTTCTTCTCTACCCCTGGGTATTATTGAACAAAATTGAATACATATTTATGATAAGCAAGAGTGACTTTACCAAAATTGTGAAATTCATGGCCCCAGGGTCAGGGGTTCTGGTGTTAGGGCGGGGCTATATAAATCATATAGTGAAAGTGCATTATTTCTTTGAAAATCTTCTTCTCTACTCCTGGGTATTATTGAAACAAATTGAATACAAAGTTATGATAAGCAAGGGTGACTTCACCAAAATTGTGAAATTCATGGCCCCAGGGTCAGGGGTTCTGGTGTTAGGGCGGGGCTATATAGGTCATATAGTGAAAGTGCATTATTTCTTTGAAAATCTTCTTCTCTACTCCTGGGTATCATTTAAACAAATTGAATACATAGTTATGATAAGCAAGAGTGACTCTACCAAAATTGTGAAATTCATAGCCCCAGGGGCAGGGGTTCTGGTGTTAGGGCGGGGCTATATAAATCATATAGTGAAAGTGCTTTATTTCTTTGAAAATCTTCTTCTCTACTCCTGGGTATTATTGAAACAAATTGAATACATAGTTATGATAAGCAAGAGTGACTCTACCAAAATTGTGAAATTCATATCCCCAGGGTCAAGAGTTCTGGTGCTAGGGCTGGGCTATATAAATCATACAGTGAAAATGCATTAATGCTTTAAAAATCTTCTCTACTCCTGGGTATTATTTAAACAAATTAAGTACATTGTTATGATAAGCAAGGATGCTTCTTCCAAAATTATGAAATTCATGGCCCCAGGTACAGGGGTTCTGGTGCTAGGGCGGGGCCATATATATCCTATAGTGAAGGTGAATTATTTCTTTAAAAATCTTCTTCTCTGCGCCTGGGTATTATTTAAACAAACTATTAGTACATTGTTATGATACGCAAGTACGCCCCTTCCAAAATTGTGAATTTCATGGCCCCAGGGTCAAGGGTTCTGGTGAAAAAGGGGGGGGGGGCTCTATTGATTATATAGTGAAAAAGCAAAATTTCTCTGAAAATATTCTTTTCTGCTTCTGGTTAAAAAGCAAAGAAGCTAAGTGTATAGTTATGATGAGCATGATTACTTCTTCCAGCGTAGTGAATTGCATGACCCCTGGGTCAGATGTGCTGGTGTAAGGGTGGGGCTCTTGATAATGTAGTGAAAATGCATTAATTCTGTTAAATAATCCTGTCTGCTCCTTAGTGTTAATCAGATAAACAAAGTGATTACTTACATGTATGATGAATAAACTTCTGGTCCCAGGGTGAGAGACTCTGGTGTTTCTCGGTGGGGATGGGAGGTTGGGGGGGGGGGGGGCTGGGGGGCTCTATTGATAATGTAGTGAATCTGTAGTAAAAACTGCATTATTTTTTTGAAAATCTTCTCTGCACCTGGGCATATCAGAGGCAAAAAGAGTAAAAGTTTTAATAAATATTTTTGAACATCTGGGCCATTTTGTCAAGTGTTCTGGTCCTGGCCAGGGCTCTATTAATTTGTATTCTACTGAGGGGAGTTATTCCCCTTTGCCATTTACTTTTGATAATTAGTCACTGTAAATAATGTACTTGAAAGGTTAATAGAATAAGAGAATTTTGCAAGATTTTTTATTGTATAATACAAAAAGTACTTTCATAGTTTTATGATCAGGTAGACTTGTAAGTAATAGATAAATAAAAATGAGACAAAAATAACTTGTCTTATTCAATGTTCATCAAAGACCAAGAGAGTCCAATGTAAGAGATTTCAACAAGGAATTAAAATAGTACAGAAGCATTGATAGTTTGTTAATATACTGTATGGTGATAGTGATAAATGGGGAACAGATTAGAACCTAATTTATGAACTGTTAATGAACACTAGACTAATTATTTTGTTGAACCTGATCACCCTATTTTTCTTGCTTTTGGGCAACAAAGCTTCACTTTTCAGTTCATTTTATACTCTATGGATTCTCTAAATTGTTGTATTATACTCAGGTGACCGTTAAGGCCCTTGGGCCTCTTGTTTTTTTCAAACATGAAAACCCGGCTTGTATATATATATATATATATATATATATATATATATATATATATATATATATATATATATATATATATATATATATATTAATTTAGAAAGCTCTGAATGAAAATGAAGAAATAAAGCTGAAATAATATAAACAAAAATGTTTATACCCGTTACCATGGTAACATTCTAAGTTTGAATTTTTAAATCTTGATTGCAAATGACTAATGTATATATTTATGTTTATTTTGTACAGTAATCATTTTACATGTCAATGTCCTGTAATCTAAAAATGATTCTGAGTATCAAAACAATTGAAATTCCAATTGAGAATGACTCTTAACTCTACATGGGTTACATTGGTTGCTATGTGCTCAGAATCGTTGCCATGGGAAAATCAAATGAAAATAGAATTTTGTAAGATGTTAATTGCATTGTAAAATTTTCTTAATCACAATTTTACAGCATGCTTTGAAGAATCCTTTACAACAGGTACATGAACATGCTTAAATCATTATTCTATAATGTGTTGCTAAGGCGAAATTGCTGTTACCATGGAGATAACAAATTGTAAAACATTCCTTAGTTTGCAGAGAAGTCTCAAAAATTTCAATTTATTGTAAAATTTGTTTTGAGTATTCAAAGATAACAAGTTATGTGACTTATGACTTTAGCATTTTACATTTTTTCTCTTTTTATTCATCAAAACATCCATTTTTGTTGCTAGGCAACGGATAGGAATGTTTAAAAATTATACGCTTCTAAATTCCAATTCTAAAAGACAAAATCCTCTGCTTTCATTTTATATACACAGGATGTCTGTATGAGGTCCATCACCGGAGTAATTAGACATTGAATAATTCCAAAATCAAAGAAAATGCTGAGTCATCAAAAAAGGAAAAACATGCATATATTCCCACATCTATCAAAGTTATATCTTTAAATCTTATTTCTATATTTTTAATTGTGAAAACTGTTAAGATCATTATCTTGAGAATAACAGCAATGAAAAAGAAATTCTTTTAGTATTTACATTTAATTTGAGCCTGAAAGATAAGAGATTTTTTAGTCCATCAAAGCTGAAAATTGGCTAGTTGCTAGGGAAATTTCTTTACCCATGTTTCCATGGTAACCGTGAATCAAAACATTTTTCCTTTTGCATACATGGTTCATAGTGCGAAAGAAAACTGTGTGTGGAAAATCATCAAATTCTGAGAACCCTCATATATCACCCTTTGCATGATTTTTACACAGAACTCTACTTAATTCCTCATTCAGCGTTTCACAAAAATGGGATTTGAAGTAACAGAAAGTTGTATAGATTAATAAGGATGGTTGCAGAACGGTAAAATTTTGAATATTGTAGAAAGTTTACAGTAATTATTTCTTTATATTTTAGAAATTTATTAATCCCAATCATTTACAAGCAAATTAGATCCAAAAATATTTTTCAATCAAGGCATCCTTTTTTTTTTTTTTTTTTTTTTTTTTTTTTTTTTTTTTGTTGGAATCATCTGTCCTTTCGTGAATATTATATTAATTATTTATTTCGTAAGCAAAATAAAATTCAATTAATGGAATAAATTTAAATCTCACTCTATACATATATTCCTTCTAAAAAATAGCTTACATTCTGAACCCCTCTACGGTAACCCAGCGTAGTCATAAATCCACAAATTCTACTGAAGGCAAAATTTAACAATTACAGATTACTTCATACAATTCCTTCACAGTCAGATAAATATCAACAGGTGCATTTCAAGCACAATAGTCAGAATTTATAAAATTGACCGAAATACAAATGTAAGGAACATTTTTTCCCATGTTGCAATACAAACATATCATTGGGCAGGACATTCATACTATTAGACATATTTCTAGTACTGAATGTTTTTTGGCCTTTCAGTAAAAGAACAATCATATTATTTTAATATTGTTGAGACTTTGTAGAAACTTGCTGTTGGCAAATATGCCAGCCTTTTGCTCTTTGCTCTCCTTACACAATTGCTGTGCTTATAATTAAAGGTCTGTTCATATGTCCCAAATTAGATAGCCATTTTAAGATTACAATAGATCAGACTCCATTTATTTATCATTTTAGACTTGTCAGACAGCTGAATATACACAGAAAAATTATTGGAGGTCAATGTATAATGGACTTTCCTGATGGATATCCTCCTGGAGTTTCTGTGACAGATGGTAAGGAATATAGATTGGTCTTCTGTTAAAATTGTTTAGTATTTTAAACTACTAAAAAATAATTTACCAGGGCAAAATCTTGAACATATACCTTAAATTTGATTTTTATTTTAGTAATCAAATCATATTTAACATGTACATATGGAAGCATAAATATTTAAATAGAGGATATTTAAGGTTTTGTAGTTGGACATGGAATTTATTTCAGAAGTGGGAGAGGAGTTTTTGATATTTTCATGTTTGTCAAGCATGAGTGAGAATATAAAAGAATTCCAGTCTCACTCATGAAATAAGTTCCATATCCAACCACAAAATTACACTTTGCCATTTTATTACATTTTGAATTCTTTGATTTCCCTTTTGCCTCTCTTATTTCGTAACAAAGTTCATATGCTGTAACATCGTAGCTAAGTGTTGTGAGACATAGCTAAGCAATTGTAAGATTGAAAATTGTTAAAATGGATATTAACTAATATTAAAATGTAAACATACATATTAACAACTATTTGGAGAAACTAGCAGTTTTATTTTTGTATGGAAGAATCCTCTGGCAATGTATATTCAATTTAATTCAAATCATGGCCCCTGTGTACAGGATGGAGCAGAAATGTGGGATCATATTTTTTTCATAGGAATACTACTAGTATATAGAAATCTTTAAAAATCCTTTTCCCAAGAACAACAAAGCCATGATTAGTCATATTTAGATGGAAGCAATCACAGTTAGTGTAGATTAAATTTTCTTCAAGTCATGACCCCCAGGAGTAGGGTGGAGTCCAATGGGCAGTCAAAGTTTTACATCGGAATACACAGGATTTTTTTTTTAATCTAACGCTCAAGAACAGCAAAGTCATGATAAGACATATTTATATGGAACCATCCTCAGGTGGTGAAGATTGAAGTTTGTTCAAATCATGACCCCCTGGAGTAGGTTGGGGCCATAATATGTGAACAAAGTTTTATAGAATAATATATAGGAAACAGAATCTGCTGCTGAAGAACAGAAGGGACATAGTTACTCGGATGAGCATTGTGGTCCATAGGGCTCTTGTTAATTTTCCTATTTTTGGATCAAGATGTCGCTTTAAATTCCATGGTAAACCCATTTACAGGGTTTTTGAGGAATCCAGCACTTGGCTATTGAAGATGCCTTCCATCAACACAGCCGTCACCCTACCAGCTCAGGCACAGGCATTTGAAACATAATAGACCATTTCACAATAACTGCGGAACTACTCTTTTGCAGGGCAAAATGATATACTTGAAATGTGACGTAAAAGCAATTAATTGTTTTATTAATATATGTCATTTAATTATTTGTCAACAAAAACTTTGTCAAATGTTATTAATTTTCCCTGCAAAAGAGTAGTACCGCATTTACCGTGAAGGGGCTAATATATTATTTTAGTGAAATATTTTTAGTAAAACATTTTCTTAAAATATATCAAGAACAAAAATTGAGATTTTTTTCAATATGGTTTACAAGCATCCCCATAAAATCTACATTATTCTAGTTATAGTTCTTGTAGCAAGGACTAATAATTAATATACATACAAGCCTGTTGTCTTTTTCAAATTTTATCTTTCTCTCAGGGTGAGGTTAGCAGGGGTCAGAAGTGTCTCTTAAAGTAAGAGTGTATCTATTCAGCTTTGTGGAATTTGGTACCATGATTTGTTTTTTTTTTTGATTACCAGATTGGAATCTTGTAATTCTACAATTGCTGAAGTTCATCGAGGTGATTGGAAGTGTCAGTAATAATCCTCTGCCAGAAGATGAAGCTACTTATCTTGACTTTCATGAAGTATTTAATAACATGTATGTTTTCATTGGTTCACTGAAACTAGTAGTTGATCAGTCATTCTACATGACTGAATACCTCACAAAATCTCTATCAGTGTTATCTACACTAGATTATGTTGGTAAAACCTCATATTGTATATCAAAAAAACTTCGATCTAGGAGTATTGGGAAAGATGTGGTACAATATTCACATCAAAGCATAAGGGTGGATCCACAAACAAGACAACCATTAGAGTTTCCATCATTTTGGAGGGAAAAGTACAGAAAATATGCAGCAGGATTGCCATTCATAATGAAAAAGATAACAAGGCCACAAATTTGTGTTTTGGATTTCCTTTACAGGATCCAAACTTGTGATATAGATGATCAGAACCATACAAATAATCGGGCTTATGTAAGACTTTGTATGGAGTGCAGCAAGAGAGGGGCCGTGGAAAGAAGGTATAAATGCTTCTCATCTGTATTGTTTGAAAACGGAATAAAGGAACTCCAAGTAAGATTCGAAAATGAGGCTCTGTTGGGTGAGGAGGTCATAGTTTATGTCTGGGAAGCAACAGGAAGAACTGATCAATTATGCTTCGAAATTGTAAAGGGCTTGGATGTGTGCATTCAAGCAACCATGACATTTTATGCAACACCAATAAACTATTCAACGAGTGGAATGAACAAATCTAGGTTGTGAAGAAAATAAGTCATATTTATTGTTTAACAACATTTTTATCATTAAAGTAATAAAATAAATTCTCAGAGTTTTATTTTCAGTGTAATTGATTTATTTTTCTTTGTAGTTCACCTAAATGCAAAGGAGCTTTTCTGACAAAAACATTCCTAAGCATCTGTCTGCCAGTTAACATTTCACATTTTCAACTTCCCCAGGACCACTGAACCAATTTCAACCAAACTGCCACAGTTTAAAGATAGTTCAAATGAAGAGCCCCGTCCTTTTCAAGGGCAGATAAGTAAGAAAATATGCCAGAGACACATATGTATCTTCTCAAAAACTATTGGGCCAGATATGAAAAATACACAAGAAGCGTCCTCATGTAGTGCACATTCAACTTTGTTTCTCAAATTATGGACCATAGGGCTAGGGTTGTCTGCTGTAAGGGAGAGGGGGTTGTCGAAATTATATATGGAACTAATACATAGAAAAAATCTCAATAATTGGAACATGAGCAAGGCTAAAATTATTCTTACCGATATACAGGCATCCTCAGGTAGTGTAGATTTAAATTATTTAAATCATGGCCGCAGAAGGCTAGGATGCGGTACAGATGAGGTTCAATTTTGTTATAGCTGCTAAGCAATATATAGGAAAGATCTTTTGAATTTTTCAAGAACTCAAGTGTCACAGTCATATTACATGTAGTAAGCACGTATCTCAATTTACTGTTTATGTAGTTTTAATCAGGTTTGTTCAAAGTGTGCCCTCTGGCATTATGTAGGGTTTATTATGGTCATGTGTATGGGAAACTCTTTACATGAACAGATCTATCAATATATTCAGATTGCAATATGAAGTATACAATCGGGATCGATCAATTCATGGCCCCTGTGACTAGAGTGAGGTTGCAATATGGGCTTAAAAATTATATGGAAATATACAGAAAAGTCTTCTGGAATCAGCTCAAGAACAGCAATTCCACAGCTGCATTGATATGCAGGCATCTTTACGTATGGATAGCCAATATGTTCACAATTCCAACTCTGTAATGCATGAAATTTATACATGTTAAATTTAATTTGTAGATTGTACATCATAACTACATACTTTGTCTAGTGTTTATCAAAATTTATTAACTGAAACTATTCAAAAATAACTTTTCATGTGTGAAACGTAATTGCCAGCTATGTCAATGTGAAATGTAATTCTTAGAATTGCGATTTGTGAACTTGTGAAAGCGGGTGTTGCAAAAATTCACCATGATTGTTTCCTTATTTCGAGTAGGGCATTTAAGAAGGAATGCTACCAAAATATTATTTAATCGATCTTTAAGAAATATCTTTTGAAATATGATTTGGTTTCAGTAAGAAGATTGATATAGGCTCATTTTTGTACTAGAAAATATATGATTTGTTTTATTTGCAAGTAAAATGATTTGGAGTTTAAAATTTGCTGTTAAGGATATCCGATCCTCAGCCAGGAAGGATAACTCTTAATTTTATTATTTTATTTAAAAAGTCTCAAAATGAAGCTTGAAATTGAGATCTTTTCATGCAACCATTTTCATTTTATGCATCTTGATATGATTCAAGGTTCTTTTAAATCGTAGACACATCTTGTTAAAAGTTAACATTTGTACCCCATAAAAGAAAGAAATGAATTCATTTTTAGAGAAATTGAATTTCCTTTAGTCTAGCATGAGATACCACTGCTTATTAGCATGATATGAAATTAGATGTGATATGTGGTGTCTAGCAATGATAGCACAAGCTTTTTACACTGTTTTATATGACAATTGAGGTAAAAAGTAGAACTAAAATACTGTATAAGGATAAAAAAGACGCAATTTTCTTCAAATGCCTGGATACCTATAATTTTCTACCCTAAATTATATTTGTTGATCAATTTTCAATTAGAAAATGCATAGCTGGTGTTTTTATTCGCATTTCCTGAAAATATATTTGAGATTTGAGAATTTTCCCTATATAATATGATTAACTATAATGATGAACTTTGATGAAATTCCATGGGTAAATTCACGTTACTATGTGAAATCAGAGACATTTTTGTGAGCATTTTCAATTACTTAAAAGCTGATTTTCAGAACCTGAGGATCGGACTACCTTAATAGATGCATAATAGAACTATCTAATGAAACATGTCAAGAAGCGTGGATGACTTTGTTAATATTTGACATTTTTATTTATATGCTGTTTTATAGAATATTACAAATGCTTGTCGGGACCTGTTGGAATTCATTCCACTTATAAATACTGTATACATACATGTAGGTGTCACCGTTTTCCTATTATATATGAGAAAGAAGCTCTAGTGAGGAGCATAAAAGGAAATAATACATTATGCACCTTTAACAGTATTTTTTTAATGATGTAGATAACTAGTGAATCTATATCTTTAATGTAGAATCATATTCCTAAGTACGCTGTGGATGCTACATCCAACTTGAAGACATTTCTTCTAGTATGTCATTTCAATTTATATTCATTTAAATAGAGACTATAGCAAAGAGAGATATATGTTTTTGTTTCAAGTCAGATTCTCTGCTTCACTATTTAAACAATAAATAAGCATGCAATAATCAAATTATTTAAACTGCTACTTTATTTTTCATTACATCGTCATGTAGCTATCTTTATATTTTATTAGTTGAGATCACAGTAACGAGGGATACAATTTTAACATATACTTCTTGCATATCGGAGGGATAATATATTTCCCTTCAGTCTTTTAAGATTTTTAAAAAATATACTTCTCGGGAAAACAAAAAACAAAATAATAATAAAAATAAAAAATAAAAATAAAAATTAAAAAAACAAACAAACAAAAAAAAACAAAAAAAAAACGGAAATGACAGTTTTAAGAAAATTGCTGGCTCTTAATATTTATCAAATTGTTTCTGTTTCAATGAGACAATTTTTCAGAACAATGGAGATTTCCTACTCGAGAAGCACAAAATCTGTTATATTTTGCTGTGTGATTAATGTACATTTCTTGATTCATAAATTAGAAATCGATATGAAGCTTGCAATTATGAGTGATACACTATATACTCTTGCATTTGACAACATTCAACTTTTTTTACTGTAATTTTTTCGTGTTATCTGATACACTTTGGGAATATAATATACAAACAATAACACCCTCTTTAAATTGTACTTTCGAGTTTTATAAATTATGCAACGTTGCTTACATTAATTCAAAAAAGGTGCTGTATGGGAAGTTATTTCGCCCCAAAGCTTTAAAAACCCTCAACTGCATTGAGTTTCGTACAAAGCACTTGCATTTCTTCCTCAAGCTGTCTTTAAAATCATTTGCAAATAAGATGGTTGGAAAGGGAGGGAATCATCTTGAAATTAAACATTCTAAAGCACTCCCTTTCAAAAAGAGATAGAAATATATTTCTAAAAGATCTTGTTAGCTTACCTGAGACAGGCTCAAGTGTTAACATTGAAATTTGTCCGTTGTCTGTCGTTGTTATTATTGTTGTGTCTTACGTTGTTGTCGTAAACTTTGAACATTTTCATCTTCTCCAGAACCACTGGGACAGTTTCAATCAAACTTGCCAGGTGAAGGGAATTCAAGTTTGTTCAAATGAAGGGCAATCCTCTCTTTCAAGGGGAGATAATGAAGAATAACTTAAACTTTGTTAAATTATGGGTCTTGTCCTCTTTCAAGGGAATCAAGATAAGGAAGAATTAGTGAACTATAATTGCATCTTTCAAAAATCTTCTCAAGACTCACTGGGCCAGAAAAGTTTAAACTTATGTGAGTTTGTGATTAGATTTTTTTTTCAAATTAAGACTCCTATGAGGAGGGTGGGGCTACAATAGGTTTTCGTAAGAATATATAGGGAAAAACTTTTTTTAAAAATTCTTCTGAAGAACTACTGGGCTAGAAAAGTTGAAACTTTTGTGAAAGCTTCATTACATAGTATAGATAAAAGCTTGTTCAAATCATAACTTTGGGGATAGGGTTGGGCCACAAAGTATAGTTGATCAAGTATTACAATTATATATATATATATAGAGAGAGAGAGAGGGGGGGGGAGATCTTTAAAAATCTTCTAGAGAACCACTGGGCCAGAAAAAATGAACACTTATGTGAAAGTTTTATTACACAGTGTAGATAAGTTTCTTCGAATCCTGATCCCAGGGTTAGGGTAGGGCCACAATCGACAATCAAAATATGCGTGGGAATTTATAGGAAAAATCTTTAAAAATCTTGTCAAGAATAGCAATGTCATGATAATTCATTCTCTGACAGGTAATATTGATTAAAGTTTGTTAAAATCAAAACCCCGGCTGGATGGGGCCCCAATAGGTGATCAAAGTTTTACATAAAAATATATTGGAAAAATCTTTCAAAAATCTTCTCGAGAACACCAGAGATAGATATGGAACTTCCTCAGGTAGTGTATATTCAGGTTTTCAAATTATGGGTAGGGGTTGGGTTGAAATTTCTTTAAAAGAAATTTACTTTATAAATCCCTCAGACCCTCCTCGCTGGATCGCCACTGGGAATTAAGAAAAAGTATTTCAAAAATATACTGAAAAGTGATTGTTTTTTATGTTTTTACTACAATATACCCCTGTCAAGTCATGACTTTGAATTTAAATATCAATTCAATCTATTTTAGGGTCAAATATGGAGTTAATTTTAGAAAGATTTTTTCATTTTTTCATGTTTATATGGTTTGACGAATTGCGAATTTGATGACATTGTTAAGCAACGAAATAGCTTACCATCCATACAGCGCCATGTTTTGTCTTTATAGGCGTTAGCATAATGCAATTAACGTTGCATAATTTAACAAGAAGAAAATGGCGTCTACGAATTACACGTTTGCATTGACATAACTTGCATAGTTACAAGTAACAAATTGTGATAAAACAATTGGCAAATAATGACGTTATGATTTACAATCTACAGATAAAGGTATATATGTGTACATTTAAAGAATGACATGCAGAGGAAATTTTAACCTGTTAGCTTTTCATACTACTAGTATGTAGTATAGATTCAAGCATTTCTTCTTGGAAAAATTTTGTCTGAAACCTGTCTGAATACTTTCCTGAAATATCGTAAACTTTTAAGGAAATGTTTTAGAACAATCTGAAAAATGTTTTGAATATATCAGAAATTGGAACATTGAAGACAATTTTCAGACTGATTTCAGAACAATTAAAAGTAAACTTTCAGCAAAAACTTTAACAATGTTTCATAAAATATTCAGATAATGATTCAGTAATTATTTGGTAACCTAGAGCAAGGTTTCAGATGATTTTAATGCTGTTTCGCAACATTACAGCACCTTTGCAGCAACATTGTACTTAATCAGAAAGAGACAGTACTTTTTAGGGCTGGGTATCGGCTGGAAATTTTGTATTGCAATATACTGCGATATTTTTATGTGTATTGCGATATGTACTGCAATATTTTCAATAACAGTTAAAATGTTGTTTTTTTTTCCTAATTTTTTTAAATCTCCATTTAAAGGCAGAATTATAACTATTATAAATACGTTGTCACAAGAAAGTTCTTGTTGATTTCACTACAGTTTTGTAACAAAATGCAACTATACTACAACAACCTTACCGTTTGGCACAATTGAAAACGTTTCTGACATATTAAATTTTACATTTTACTTTAGAAATCTAAAAGCCAAGCATTTTGTCGTTATATCAGTACTGAAAAAAACGTATCGTAATACGATATTTTTGCTACTGAATCGCAATATACCGGAATATTGATAATATTGCACAGCCCTAGTACCCTTAAAGCAAAGTTACCGTACTATTTCAGCATGGTCAGGAGATTTTTCCTACCTATAATGATACTTCTTCAATAAATCATGAACACTTGTTTCACATTACCCTATGAAAACCAGTCACTATAATTAACACCTGATATGATATCTGATGACATGATGATAATTTACACATGAATATTGCAGAAAGTTTGAATTTTAAGATATACAATCTTTACACCTTGGCTTCAGAATTGCAATCTAAAAATTTGAAGGAACCTGAAATTCACTTCCTGCTCCAAGTATATTTAAATTTATCTTTTGACTGTTTTTTCTTTCATTTTCTCATTATCTGCGAAATCTACAAATATATTTATATTTTTTTCATACAAATTGTTACATGTACGCCTTTATTTTTGTACTGAATTGAGTACAGATAGTTCCGTCTACCTGATCAATACATAGGGCTCACGGCGGTGTGTGACCGGTCAACAGGGGATGCTTACTCCACCTGATCCCACCTCTGGAATTTCCAGGAGTCCGTGTTTTATACCCTCTTCACATATTTGTATTGTTTGTGGATTTTTTGAGATCGATCACTGTTCGTTATCTTTACCTTTTACATTTCAGCAGACTTCATATTTTGCATAATGAAGATAAATGCACAGTGTCAAGGGTGTTAACTTTTTATAACCAGTATTAACAGTTCTTGTAAAGACTCCGGAACAACTGTTCAATATATTTTTATTTATGATCCATCGGCATGATGGTACTTGATGAAGTATTATATATGGAAAATCATATCAACATTATCTACAATAAATATGAAAATCTTATGTACCACCCATTCACACATAAAATATTTAAATGAAATGTATATCAAATATCAATTCATAAATTATTTTACTGAATATATAAAATAGCTAAATAGAGGATATTCAATTTTTGTAGATGAATATGGAATTTATTTTACGAGTTGGACAGGATTTTTTTTTTTTTTTTTTTTTTTGTTATTTTCACGAGTGCGAAGCACGAGTGAAAATATCAAAAAATCCTGTCTCACGAGTGAAATGAATTCCATATTCATCTACAAACATTGAATTTTCTGTTTATTACATTTTCTTAGATTTTCCCTTTGCCTCTGTCTTTTCATAACACAGTGTCATAGGCTGTGACGTCATAGTTGAGCGGTTGAGACGTCATAGCTAAGTGATTGCGAGATTGAAAAACGTTGTAAACATGGATTTTTAACGACATTACTTGGAAACAAAACCTTGGTTGTATAACAATTAGTCTCTGTCAGAATGGCTCATTAACTTGATCTTATAACAGGCCAGGGATTTTTTTTTTCAAAAAAAACCCCCTCTTCTTGGATGCAAGGAAAATCGTAAGTTTTGCCGCACTTCTGATATTCTCACACTGTGAGAATACATTTTAATATCCTTTCACAATGTGTCAGAATATCACTTTTATTCAGTAAATAAATTACAGTATTTCAGTGTTGAAAATATAATAATTC